AAATTAGCCGGGCATGGTAGCGCGCACCTGTAATTCCAGCTACTTGGAAGGCTGAGGTGGAAGGATCGCCGGAGCCCAGCAGGTTGAGGCTGCGGTGGCCAGGAGCGGCCACTGCACTCCAGTCTGGGCGGCAGAGTGAGACTCCAACTCAAAAAAAACCAAACAAACAGATCCCTGGGTCTCAAACCCCAATTCTGCTTCAATAGACCCAGGAACCTAGAATTTGTAATTCTACCACGTAGTTAGGCGATGTTGCTAAACCAGAAGACATACTCTCAGGTTACTATGGCTATAGGAACATTAAGGAGGCCAGCAGACTAGAACAGAACATGCAGAGTGGAAAAAGTTATCAGAGAAGTAACTGGTGAGGGGAGATCATGTAAGGTCTTGCAGGGCATCTGATAACAATAAGCAGACAGGATGCTAGGTATGCAACAGCAGTCAACAGGTCTTTAATGACTGAAGTAGATATGTAATAAGCCAATAAATGAGATTTTTGGCCCGAGCAACTGGGAGGATAGAGCTGCCATACACTTGTGATGGTGGAACACTGTTAGAGAAGGTTTCAGGAACAAAATCAGGATCAAGAGTCTGAACACGTCAGGTACTAATTAGATATCCAAGCTGAAATGCACAATTAGATACTGAGCCACTTAAGATCAACTGTGTCACATGCTGCACAGTACAAAAAGACGAAGCATCAGCCACCAGCATGGTGACCTTTACAACAGCTGATGTGGTAGAGGCAAAAACATGACTTGAGTAGATTAAAGAATGGGAAAGTCCTTATTCTTAAGAGATACATACTGAAGTAACTAGAAGCTAAGTGCCATAACACTTCCAAGTGTTTCTACTCTATTAGCCTTTTAACTTTTATGAGATTTGAAAATTAAATTTATGGCACCAACATAAGACCCTCCACCAATCCCAGTGCTTGAACATTCACCATGTGCATTTATTATCTTTATAGTAAGCATAAACAAAATTTTTAAAACTTGGAAAATGGGAATTAGACAGCAATATCAAATCTGAGACCATAATTTGTGCACTAATTGTCATTAATTACAATTTTGGGGAGAATTCACATAAAAAATCCAGGGGAATCATCTGCTGCTATGGAAATCAGACTAGATTTTCTATCTTGACTTAGACAAAATCACTATCCATGGTATCCTAACCTCTGAGCTTCCAGATTTTTTCCCCATCGGTAAACTTAATACGTATCTCTCAGGGTTGTAAAGCTGCCTTACTGCTTACTCAATTCTGTTGAATATACAAAAGCAAAAGGGTCAAAGCTCCATTTCATCCTCCAATTACATTATTTTCTCGATTTTAAGATTTAGATTTTAGGATTTTTGGACTGATTAGCTTACTAATAACTTTTGAGGAAAAGGTGCATTAAATATCCATACAGAATGACTGCTAAAGACACTTTGGTTTTGGAAACAAAAATTTTAAGTAACATTAATCAAATTATTTCTATGGGATTGGTCTATAAACAAGCCATCACATCTATCCACTATAATTGCCATAATTTCCTTCTGGCTTCTGCATTTCCAAACACACGTACCTTGCTGGGGTGAATGCCCACATGAACAGTTGTGCCATTTGCCTTTTCCCGCTGCACCCGCTCAATGTAGATGACATATTTTTTCCTGTAAACCTGGACTACTTTGCCAATTTGCTGACCTTTATAGTGACCTCGCACAACCTAAAAAAAATAACAGACATATTCAGATAAAAGAACAAGATTAATCTTGTAAATCAGGAAAACTGTTAATCAGGCCTTCACTCTATCCTTGGCTCTATGGAATCTTTTAATTTCAAGACTTAATCATTAAGAGAAATGTAATAATCCTATCTCGGGTTTTAACTAAGTTGTAAATAAACCATGCTTCCAGGTACCCAGTGTTGAGACAATGCATCCCTGCAACTGACGGCCCAGCAGCAGCGGTTCTAGACTTGTCAAAAGGGGAAAGAGGGCAATCCCCTTGGGTCCTTTCCCAATGTGGGAGCTTTCCTGTCCTCTTAATAAATCCTGCTTTAAAACAAAAAAAGGAGCTGGGCTCGGTGGCTCAGCCTGTAATCCCAGCACTTTGGGAGGCTGAGGTGAGTAAATTGCCTGAGCCTGAGGGTTCGAGACCCACCTGGGCAACTTGGCGAGACCTCATCTCTACAATAAATCAAAAAATTAGCCGGGAGTGGTAGCGTGCCTGTAGTTCCAGCTACTTAGAAGGCTAAGGTGGAAGGATCGCCGGAGCCCAGCAGGTCGAGGCTGCGGTGGCCAGGAGCGTGCCACTGCCCTCCAGTCTGGGCGACAGAGTGAGACCCCAACTCAAAAATAAATAAATAAATAAAATAAAACAAAAAGCGGGGGGAGAGAATAATCTCTAAGTAACATCCTGACTATGTCTTACTCTATACTCTATCACTTAATTACGGAGGGCATCTGATGCTTGGGAAAAGCGACTGTCACCGAAGAATAAAAGAAAAACTAAAAACAGCATCCTTGGTCCCTGACTCAACTCATCTTGCAATTCCCTTCAGGGAGCAAGAGTGTCAGAAATGCAATCCCTCTTCTAAGCTAAATGTGTGGAACAGCCATCAAGGTAACGTGAACAAGGATACATACCTGAACTTCATCATCCTTTCGGATGGGCATGGATCGAACATTGTACTTCTGTCTCAGCTCCTTGGAGAGAGGGGAAGACATAATCTTCCTGCGAATGTGGGAAGGTGCATTGAAATGCCTTTTGCGGTTCTTGCTTCGGTCTGAAGTCACAAAGGGATTGAACTTCATTTTGGCTAAATAAAAAGTTAAGACGACGCTTAAGTGACCAAAATCTCATTCCGTTTCCAAACAAATAACAGCGGTAACTGCTCACATGAGCTGTCATGTTCTGTAACTCCATTAAAAACGGCTTGAACTGAATGGTCCAACACTGAAGTTTTAAACTTCAAAACTTTTGCTTTACTAGGGTATTTTATGTGTTTACACTCTCCAACCTCCGTAAGCACTTCGTGAGGGCGTCAAGAATATATTTGTAAGTATCTCTGAATTAGGGCAGAACAGACCGATAACCCAACTCTCCCAATGTAACCACGTTTGAGGAACCAATGTTCGTCTTACACGGGTTTGACTGTGAACATATTTAGCCCCTCTGAAATTATGGAGTCAGACCCTGCATGCTGGACCTGGAAAATCCTGCACACAACTCGGGTCCAAAATACTTTCCAATAGGCGAGCGCGGTCTGGAAATTCCGTGAAGGCTCTACCGAGAAATTACTTCGAGACCATTCTTTAGAAACTACACCGGACAGACCTGACTCTAGCTCCACAGGCTCCCTCCCCCGAGTTCCTTCCGAGTTCCCAAATTCCCCGTCCCTCCATTCCTCTCCGGCCTGGCGGCCCTTGAACTGAAAAAACAGGTCGAAACCATCCCAACGCCCCCCTCTCTGACTTCTAATCGGCTGGCGGGAGAATCTCAGAGCTCCCGAAGACGGCAGCCACGGTGTCCCAAAACGGATGGCTGCAGATTACACTAGCTCGCCCGGCGAGTCCTCACCCGCAGCCGCTTTGGCGATGGCCTCAAAAAGAGAAAGATCCACACGCTACTTCCGGTTCCGTAAATTTACGAGAGATCTCGCGAGGCCGATGTCTCTGGGAGCGAGAGGGACGCGGAGTTTGAGAACAGTAAACCTGGGAAGAAATTGATTGCTAGTGTCACCTAGTGGCTCGGAGGGACAGCAAAACCACTTCAGGCGCTAGTGTCTCCCTTCGGATGTCTGGATGCTACCGCTGAATCTTCTGGGAAGGGTCGCCCCTGGGCAGGAGGTAGGGGCTCCTCAGGATCCGACTGTCCTGGTGGGTGAGGAAGGAGGGAGTGGCTTTAGGGGACCCCCGTCGTACACTCCCGGGTGCCGGGCTTCCGATTAGCCAGGAAAGGGCAAGGGCTTACTTTGGGCCGCCAGGTGGCGCTGGGATCCCGGCCGGTCGGTCACCTGGGCTACCTGCACCGCCCCATGCCCTCCAGGGCCAATGGCGTGGGCGCGGCGAGCGTGCCGGGCCTTTAACAAGCTCCCACGGACGCCGGCCACCGCCCCCGCACCTCGGCTGCCGACTGCCCTGCGGGCTCTCCAGAGGTTCTGCTGTGGCTGGCAAGGGGCCTTCCGAGTACTGGGGCCACCGATCGGCCCCTACTCCCGCATACATAACGCGCTCCTTTTCTAAACGAGACGCGGAGAGGGCTGGGCCACACCATGCTTTGAAGAAGCCGGGCCCAAGGCAGCCGTGCTGTGCGGAGAGGCGTGCCCCTTTCTGATGTTCAGCTCTGGAGCATACCCATGCAGGGCAAGGGTTGGTCTCTGCGAATGGTCTCGAGGCAGGCTGCAGCCTGCTACCCGGGTGCGTCTGGTAGCGCACTGGCTTCTGTTATACAGGTGTCATACTGACAGGGCTCACATTTCATTATACGTAAGGTGTAGTAAGCTTGCTGAGTGCTAGGGACACTCTCCTACACACTGTATTTTTTTTTTTTTTTTTGAGTTGGAGTCTCATTTCTTCACCCAGGGTGGAGTGCAGTGGCATGCACGCTCACGGCCACCCCAGCGTCGACCTTCTGGGTTCCAAGATCCTTGCACCTCAGGCTTCCGAGTAGCCGAAACTACAGACGCCCGCTACTACTCCTGGCTATTTTTTATTTTATTGTAGAGACGAGGTCTTGCCAAGTTGCCCGGGCTGGTCTCGAACCCGTGGGCTCAGGCAATCTATTCACCTCGGCCTCCCAAAGTGCTGCGATTACAAACTGAGCCACTGAGCCCGGCCTCTTTTTCTTTCTTTCTTTCTTTTTTTTTTGAATTGGAGTCTCACTGTCTGTCACCCAAACTGGAGTGCAGTGGCAAGCTCACGGCCACCGCAACCTCGGCCTGCTGCGCTCAGGTGAACCTTCTGCCTCAGCCTTCCAAGTAGCTGGAACTACAGGCATGCGCCACCACACCCAGCTAATTTTTTGATTTATTGTAGAGATGAGGTCTCGCCAAGTTGCCCAGGCTAGTCTTAAAACCTGGGCTTAGGCAATCGTCTTGCCTCGGCCTCCCAAAGTGTTGGGATTGCAGGCATGAACCACCATGCTCGGCCACACTACATTATTCACCCCTTTAATCCATAAAATAGCCCTGTTGTTGCAGGGCTCATGTCCTCATTTTACAGATGGGGCAGTTGAGCCACAGAGAAATGCCAGGAAAGTGTGTAAGGTTCTACAGAACCCATAGGTTACAGCTGAACCCATGCAGGCTGACTTCTCCGCCCCTTCTGGTAGCTGTATATGGTCCCAATTTGTAGGAACCTACTGGGTCAAGCCAAAGAGTAGGAAATCATATGCCAGAGTGCCCTGAGTAGACTAAATAAAGAATGTGTTTTTTCATTATTTATTTATTTATTGGGTTGGAATCTCAGTGGCATGCTCACGGCCACTGCAACCTCGACCTGCTGGGCTCTGGTGATCCTTCCCCTCAGCCTTCCAAGTAACTGGAACTACAGGCATGAGCCGCCACACCCGGCTAATTTTTTTTTTTTGAGTTGGAGTCTCATTCTGTCACCCAGACTGGAGTACAGTGGCCGCAAGTGCAGCCTCGACCTGCTGTGCTCCGGCTATCCTTCCACCTCACCCTTCCAAGTAGCTGGAACTACAGGCGCGCACTACCCGGCTATTTTTTTTATTTATTGTAGACATGAGTTCTCACCAGGTTGCCCAGGTAGGTCTTGAACCTGCGGGCTCCCAAAGAGCTGGGATTACAGGCTGAGCCACCAAGCCTGGCTTTTTTTTTTTTTTTTTTTAATTGTAGAGGTGAGGTCTCGCTAAGTTGCCCGGGCTGGTCTTGAACCTGTGAGCTCAGGCAATCCTCTCACCTCAGCCTCCCAAAGTGCTGGGGTTATAGGTGTGAGCCACCGCGCCTGGCTTTTTCATCATTGCTGTGCTCTTAAATATGATGTGAAGGAGGTAACCCTAGATTTTATTCTAATTGAAAAATCCAGCAAGAATTCTTCTGCTGCAACTCTTTTCAACAAATATTTATGACTTGTCTTTCATGGGTCAGCCCTGAACTAGACACTAGAAATGCAAAATAAGTCAGATGTTCTGCCTGAAAGAATCTCATTGTCTGAAAGGAGAGAGAGAACAACAGAATCAACAGCCACAGTACCACAGGAAAAGTGCTACCTGAGCCAGCTGCCCTTGGTGCTTCTGTGATTTGGGAGCAGAAGAGAGCTCTAGGATCAGGGAAGACTTCTGGGGTGAGGTCACCTTTGACTGAATTCTGAAGAATGTTAACATTAGCTCCATGAGGCAATGGGACTAGCTTGAGGGATGACATGGGGGTGAAACAGCATGGCTTAGTGTTTCTAAGAACCAGATCCTGTGACTGGAGAGAGGCATTCAGAGGGAAGCCCAGGGGGTCTGGGGCTGAACTTAGTTTGACTTGGATGTTGAGAGTCATAGGGAACAGCTGAGGTGTCTATCCTCCCACCTTGCCTTCCTTTCTGGCCTTCCCAGTCACCCCTTCTCTTCTTATCATCCTAGTTTACTAACCACTCTCCTCTTCATCTTCCTCTCTGCCTACAAAGGCCCTCTTTGTTTTCTCAGCTCCCATAATTCTTTGCTGCCACCCTGCCCTCTCCGGCCTCTTCCTCCCTTCTTTTGTCCAACACTGAGTCATCAGAATTAAACCTTCAACCCACTGCCTGGAAAGCATGACCATCTGACACAGCATGAAAATTGTTGGAGTACAAATTGTACACACAGATGCAAATTGCTGGTTGTTTATGGTATCTGTTTATCTAAACATATGTCAGTTGGGTGACTAGCTTCACCCTGCATGACCCTTTGGCAGTCTAGTCTGACTGCCTTCTCTCTCCCACACTTTCCTGCATTCTTCTTCCTTGATTTGAAAAAGATCCTTTTAGACTGAGCCTTTAGGGTCATTTTGAAGCTAGTCTTTGTGGAACCTTCAGACACACCAAAGCAGGGATTATGTCTAGATTTCACACCCAAAATCGTTTGAACTAAATTTTTTCCTGACATGAAACCATCACTTTCATTTATTCATTCTACAAATATGTATCTAGCTCTTACTAAATTCTGTGTCAGGCACTAGAGATACCAAGGTCTGTGAGATCTAGCCTCCCTTGAAGGAACACTGCTTAGGAGGAGACAGACAAGTCAATAGACAAAGCACCTGAAAGAAGATGATGGGATATACTGGGGCACAGCATAGGAGCCTTCAGTTCCCCTGAGGTTGGGAGTGGAGATGTCTTCATAGGCAACTCTTTTTTTTTTTAATAGAAAGATTGGCCAGGCTCGGTTGCTCAGCCTGTAATCCCAGCACTTTGGGAGGCCGAGGTAAGTGGATTGCCTGAGCCCACGGGTTCGAGACCACCCAGGCAACTTGGCAAGACCTCATCTCTACAATAAATCAAAAATTAGCCCGGCATGGTAGCGCGCGCCTGTAGTTCCAGCTACTTGGAAGGCTGAGGCGAAAGGATCACCGGAGCCCAGTAGGTCAAGGCTGTGGTGGCCAGGAGTGGCCACTGCACTCCAGTCTGAGTGATAGAGTGAGACTCCAACTCAAAAAAATAAAAAATAGAAGGATTTATTTAGCAGAAATCCATATTAAGGAAACATTTATTTATTTATTTATTTATTATTTTTGAGTCAGAGTCTCACTCTGTTGCCCAAGTTGGAGTGCAGTGACACGCTCACGGCCACCGCAGCCTCCACCTGCTGGGTGTAGGCAATCCTTCTGCCTCAGCCCTCCAAATAGCTGGAACTACAGGTGCGTGCCATCATACCTAATTTTTCTTGATTTATTGCAGAGATGAGGTCTTGCCAAATTGCCCAGGCTGGTCTGGAATTTGTGGGCTCAGGCAGTCCTTTCACCTTGGCCTCTCAAAGTGCTGGGATTATAGACATGAGCCACTGCTCTCAGCCATAGGTAACTCTTGATTGTACTATTTCTGAAAAGCTAGATAGGAGTTTTCCAGGTAGATGGGATTAGCATGGGGAGGCCCAGAAGCCTGTACCAGCACCACCTAGTGAGAACTGTGAATAGTTTGTGCTGAGCATTTAGCTGAGGAGTTAACTTGTACTGGGTAAGAGGAGGATGAAGAAAAGTGAAGGGTGAGGGTAAGGCAAGGCTCTTTATTTTGTGTCCCCCCAAAAGGACATTTGGAATTGATAAGGAGATCAAAAGGAGATAGGAGTGGAGTGGTCCCATGAATCATCCAGAGGGTTTATTAAGGAGAGGTCACATAATTGGATCTGAGGGACACAGATGTCTTTAATGTGCACACTGAGGCTCCTGCAGTCCTTGCCAGGGACCAGCCAGCAGTGTTCTGGATCCTTAAGCTTGTCTGGTAGTCTTAGACTGTGTAGGTATATAGTAGATTTTTTTGTTTTGTTTTGTTTTGAGTTGGAGTCTCACTCTGTTGCCCAGACTGGAGTGCAGTGGCCGCTCCTGGCCACCGCAGCCTCGACCTGCTGGGCTCCGGCGATCCTTCCGCCTCAGCCTTCCAAGTAA